CCCCAAAACCCCAAAACCCCAAAACCCCAAAACCCCAAAACCCCTTCTGAAAAATATTTCATTGAATAAAATCTTTTGAAATGAGGTCTAGGATTCAAGTAAATCTAGTTGTCTTTTGAGCATCTTTTGGTAGCTCTTTAAAAAGTTCACTCTCTTTTCATCATATGATTGGGACCTGAGTAGTTTAGCAAGTTTTCTTTGGTAGAAAGCATCATATGCACTTGACCATTCCCAATCTTCTTTGTACCTAAACCAAAATGCCATTGATAGCCAGGCATAGAAGGCTCCTACAAGGTATGTGACTGGTTCGATATCGTCCCAACCATATACTCCATAGATAAGATATGCGAATCCTCCGACTTGTCCAGCTGCCATAGTTACTCCGAATAAGATCATTTTGCTGGCATAACTGGCAGCTCTGGTCTCACACATCTGCTTAAGTGGATGGTATTGATGGGATAATTCTTCATCAATATTCTTAAGCTCTTCTTTGATATTTCCCAGCATCTCTTTCTTTTTATCTGAACTGTAAGCTATAGAAGAATAGTCAGTTTCCTTGAAAATATCAACCAGTGATGAGAAGAATCTAAATTAGGCTTATCTCAGGATATTATGGAGCAGGAAACTTACTCTTCTTCGCACGATCAATAGCTAATTTAATATCAAGCCTGCTAAGTTCTTTATCTGGGAGATCATCTAAAAGGTGATCCAGGAACATTGAAATGAGGACTCTTCTAACTCCTGTATATTTATGCTCTCCTAAGATTTCGTCAATTTTAGCTTTATGCTTCAAAGTAACCATTGTAGAGATGTCAGGATGTACGTGATACACATTTCCGTCAACACTAATGTTGAACCTCTTCTTCAGAAGTTCATCTGTTGTAATATTTTCATCTGTAAGGATCTTGACCTGCTTGAGACCTTCCTCAATAGGTGCATCTATCGTCTGTGAATCGTTAATAGGGATCTTTATTCTTGTTTGGATGGTACTACTCAGTCTGATAGAGTTACCTTGAATTTTAGAAAACGTAGAAAAAAACCTCCTTGTCTGTCGTTTAAATATAAATCTACTCCACATTTTATTTATAATTTAATAGAAAGTTCTATATTTATTTTTAAAAAGGGGTTTTGGGGTTTTGGGGTTTTGGGGTTTTGGGG